TTATTTAATATCCTACTCCATTAACAAATAATTATTACAGTCTTCAAATTGGACTTTCTATAAATGCTATAGAATGTGACAAAATCCAACGAGAATGGTGGTTTAAATGAATAACAAAACTAAATTTCAAGAAATGTTCACGTTACTATTTATTACACAGGCGTCTGATGACATACAGCAGGTTTAAGTGCAGGGAATTTTAATGTGTTGTTTGACAATTGTGAATCCTAGCAAGTTTGTATACTAATAACATTTAAACTAAAAATGGTATAATTTTTTTGATTAAACTCTAAATATACTAATTCAAAATCCAATTGGTTATTATTATTATTTATATGCAAAAACATTTTTATGATTATTGATTGGTATTTTTGGTATTCTTTAACATTTTCTCTAATACTAACCTAATGATATTTTATTTTACAGAGTAAACGTCACACAAAACTGCAGGGGCTAAAAAGTTTTTGATTTTGGTACACAGTTACGCAAAGCATCCATCACACTATTAATTTCTTGGCTTCCTTTCTTTAGTATTTGAACGCATGACTCTTCTCCTCATACTATAGATGTCACGCTAAATTAAAAACATTTATGTGCAGTGAATTTTTTTAACTGTAACTTTAATAGCACAGGTCATCTATAATCAATTAATTGCTTAAAACTACATCATTTTAAAAAGTTAACCGATAAGTTTTATTGTTCATAACTCAGACTTCAAAACTTTTTCTTAAACTAAAAAATTGGTTGAGCCTTAGCATCTTGAAAATTCTAATTTTGTTATATTTTAACTATTTTAACACTTAATTGAGAAAAACAAGTTTTGTAAAAATACTCGTGAACAAAAAGATGTTACTCGCATTAATATTAATATTAAATACTAATACATTAAAAGAACATAAAAATATGGTGATACACAAATTATTTAAAAAAAAACCTCGAGACAATTTTTTTTCTAAATGAATTGACTCCTTTTATACCTGAATTGAATGGTGTTATATTTGTAACTTACTGCGCATATTAAAGTTTAGTGCACACTCAAAAATCGGATATGGTGCAGACATCAAAAAAAAATTGCCAATCTTTAAATGCTAAGGCTCAATAATTATATTTGTAAGAAGAACAAACTCTATTTTTGCAATCTTAGCAATACAATCAAACCTTGTTTCAACGGATCTAAGGGATTGATCACCTAAATCTGTTGGTCAATAGGCAAATTTTTATTATTTTACCGTTGAAAAGGAGAAAATACATATGTATAAAATTTTACAAAA